GACAACTTAATTCCTAAGACATAAGACTTACATGATTTTTTTTCTCCTCCAAACACATTAATTATAAAAGCAATAAACGAATGTATTAGACCTAGGTCTATTTCAGACGAATTTTCTCTGAAACTTATGAGGTTAAGAAGCAATACTTTAAAATGATTTTTTCTTACTCTGTTAAGGATACTACTGAGAAAACGTTTACAAAGATTCGTTTGATGTAACTCCGAACAACATCCGGAACCTGTTGAAAAATAGTTCGCTACAGATTTCCTTGTTTTGAAGAACAGACTTCATTTTTTTTAGAAGAAATGGTGAATCTCGATGAAAGAGAGTGACTTTTAAAAGGTACACTATTTACAATGTTCAGACTATAATCCTCACGCTTGTTGACATATTTATCACAACGTTTCAGGTGTTGTACACTCCGGCCTTCTCCATGTCGAAATGAACCCTTTATTTCCCTCGAAGGAGTAGACTGTTCTAGTTCCACGTACCATGTCTAATTGATGTTACGGTCAAATCACGCTGAAACACCGGTTCTCGTACGATCACCGAAGTTAAGCAGTGTAGAGCCAGGTCAGTACTTAGATGGGGGGCCGCTTGGGAACACCTGGTACTGTAAGCCCCAAAGTCCAACCCTTACCCCACAGTCGGTGGGGGTGTAAACGGTAGTGTCAGAGCTATGCCGCCCGGAACTTCGTTCCTGGTAGGGCCACCCAAGGCGGGGTCTGACACACGCCGGCTAACAAGGGCTCTGGTGAAAATCCAAGGAGCGTCTGCATCGGTAACTGGCGGCTTCTGGTCGTTCCTGTCTCTGCGTCTGTGGGAACCCCTGCGGCAAGCAAGAACGTTATCCGAGTAGGCCTGGGTACCCTACTTCTGTAATTTATCCCAAGAATCTTCTTCTCATAACAGGAAGAAGCCGGCTCAATCCGCCCAGGGTGAATGCCGCTTTAAAAAAAAAAAGACGTCAGTTATCAGTTATCTTCCTGTTAATTCCTCTCTCCAAGTTTTCCACCGCCTTAACCAGGTATTGAACTCACACTCTGTAGGCCCTGTCACTGGATCTAACTAACGCAATTATATATATATATATTGAAGTAGATTTATCTGTAACCATGGAAACGTGATTTTAGCTGTGTCTTTAAAACCCAGTAATTTTAAAAGTTACTCCAAAATTCTATAATTAAAAAAAAAAAATAGAAATAGACAGAAAAGATAACATTAGAAAAATTCCATATGAACATTACAAATGGATTTTGAGCCTCAAATCAGTTTGTCCAGATGGGCTTAACCAGAAATTTAACAACATATATGGAATGCATACATAACCCCGTAAATCAAGCCCTGCCGACATTTCTCGCCAACACAAGACAGACATGCTTGTGGAGGTGTTGAGATCTCACACTTAAATAAACACGCCCATACTAATATATACACTTACACATATCGTAGACGGACCCGTCCGTCCAATCTTCAGGGGATATCAGCAACTGACTGCTTATATTTCTCAACTTTTCTTTTTATGCACTTATCATTGGTACAACTATATATATATATATATATATATATATATATATATATGCCATTTCATTACAAGGAAGGTACTAAAGTGCCACTAAGACGCAGGAGACTACTGAGTATCGGATAATATGAGGGGAAAATAATTATTAATGAGAGAGAATAATAAAAGAACAGGAATTAAGAAGACAAAAAATAACGATTGGCATTGCATTTAAATCTGTGAAGATCAAAGTTGAGTTGAAAGCAAAAAGTCGGAAGAGAGTTCCACAAGTGTCAGAGAAGAGTCTGTTATCGTAGAACTTACGCCTACAACTAACCATTTCAACTGTAAAATGATGAAATCTGGCTACTAAACTAGTATTGTGCTAAAATTCATAAAGTCTAGGTATAAAATAGGAAAGCTTATATGAACAATTGCCATGTAAATATTTATAGAAAATATAATTTATATATATTACCATCCGAGTCCCGCTTAGACATACAAGGATCTTCCCAAACCTACATATACATAGAACTATCTACAGTTTTAATGCATGTGATACATGACTGACCAATTAGAATCGACCCAAACAAAACTGAAAAGTCCTGTCTTTTGTCTGTTTTCTCATCATTCTCTGACATATATATATATATATATATATATATATATATATATATATATATATATATATATACATACACCACCGGGTGTAACAGCAAAATCGTCCAAGTGTTAGATTAAGTTTTGAACCGTTGTAACTTAGAAAGGATTAAAGATATCTTACAGGAATTCTCCGGGGTTTTTATAACACTATTGGACCCTACTTTGAGCAATGAGAATGTATGATTACTTTCCAAATTTAACAGAAGAATTATGATGAAAATCGATGTTAAACGAAAAAGATATGTTCATTAATTAATCATACCTAAAGATTGGAAGTTCATGAAGGAATGAAATAAAGTCCATATATATATATATATATATATATATATATATATATATATATATATATATATATTATTCCAGGACCATTTTCAAACTTATTCAATATGAATTTCGCCCTCTCTAACCATCTAATTTTCTGTCTTGGATTAACAGGTTGCCCCATACGTTTCACGTACGATTTCATTTTCAAGTTTGTTTTTCTTCACTACTCTTTGGACTGTTATAGCTGAAACTCCTCTCTTATTTGCCAAACGTCTTATGGATTGAGTTGCATCTTTTCTAATTGATCTATTTAGCTCTATGTTGAAATGATGATCCCTCTTTCTGTTGTGAATCTCCTGATCCAGTTTTCATGTATACTGTTCACTTTTAAAATTTATTCGACGTTCTTTTCATGCTTCTTGAATGGACTTTTGAAGACGAAAGCCAGAGTATGAATGTTGGTACCATTACTGAAGACCTAAATGATTTCTTCCTCTCACCATTAACCTGTTCTCTTTCTAGCTGAATAATTCAAAAGGTTTTTCAGTGATTCTTACGACAAATGATGTCAAGGTGGCTAAACATCTTATCTGAAAACCTGAAAAAAGCTCAGTTAGCTTAGTTTATGTTGTAACCAAAGAAAGTTTACTGAATGAGGAATAACCAAAACAGATATTGAAAATGAAATGGTAATTTTATAAAATCAACAAAGTACAATACTCGCTAGCGCCGTAAAGTAGGTAAACCACTGCTGGTGGTGCACTTCTTAACATATTACGCCCACTTACAATAGTGTCAAACGTATTTATGAAGGCTGGGACATATCCATAAGTGTTCATAGGTACGGTATAGAAAAGTTTAGATATTTAAGCATTGTGTGGGATGGTCAATTATGTTGTAACATGATTTGGACATTTTTGCTGTTACAGCCGGTATATATATATATATATATATATATATATATATATATATAGTCAACAATATATATACCCTGTTCCTGTAAAGGCATTCACCCGGGGTGTGCTGAACCGGCTCCAATATGGGAATTCGGAATTCACAAGCGGTCCCCAACCCGCATGTATAGCACATGAGATTTGATTATAGTGGTGAAGGTTTCGTACAGGACCATCCACACTTTTTGAAGGGCCGAATACAGAGACCTGGTGCACTAAGTGCCACAAGGTCCCCAAATGACCCTCCGCAGGTTTTGAATTCAGAGTTGTCCTTCTCCTAGACCAGTTGCCATCCAAGGCTGGAGGGAGAAGAAGAGGATTCACACAAGTAAGTGAATGTAATGGATTCGACTGGAATTCGAACTCGGCTCTCCGATTCCTCAATTCAAGCTGCTGTCCATTACTCCACCGTGCCTCTTATATTGATTGTTTGTGTGTATGTATGTAATACACAGGTACACTCCATTTGGATAACTACTAGAGAAACACCCCATACAAGGAGGCAAAGTGGGTGTTAAATTTTTGTCTGAGTGAGCCATTTACCATTTGTTCCTGATCTTTTCTCTTTCTAGACGCGTACGAAATTCTTTAAAAAGTTAAATTCTTGATTTCTTCAGACCTACGTTATCTTTCAAACAATCCTCTACAGTTCGAACCATCAATCTTTTCACATTTCTCGTCAGGTTCTTATTTTATTTTATTTTTTTGGTACTGCTCAGTTATTGCGGACCCGTTACCACTGAGACCAATGTAATTTAATTTAAAGCGTTCGTAAGTGAATTTCGAGACATAGTAATTCTGAGTTCAATCCCGGGGCCGAGCAATGTGTAATTGGACTCAATAGATATAAGACGAGCAATAAAAAAAAATTAAAAAAAAAGAATATACGTGATATCACTTAATTGGACAGGAACAGTCTACCCCCATAGATTAAATAAAGAATTCCATGAAGGTTACCCAGATCGATATACACCTAAGGAAGGCCGGAGGATATAACAATATACACCTAAGATGTCCTTAAACTATTTATATTTGGACTACTGTCCTCATGCCTAGACATGGGCATTGGAACGAGAACAATCTACCCCCATAGATTAAATAAAGGGTTCAGTTCAGAATTCCCTATAGGGTACACAGATCGATATAGACCTAAGGAAGGCCGGGGGATATAACAATATACACCTGAAGGTGTCCTTAAACTATTTATATTTGGACTATTGTCCTCGTGCCTAGACATGAGCCGTGGAACGAGAACAGTATACCGCCGTAGATTAAATAAATGGTTCAGTTCAGAATTCCATGTAGGTTACCCAGATCGATATACACTTGATGATGGATGACATCAACAAAGATGGGGACAATATAAATAGTGCCAATAAGAATAGGCAGGATATTAAAAAAGTCTTTTGATATTTAAGCAAACTTCTTTTGCAGACGTAACTAACACGCTTCTCGTGCTGATATGCAAATATACAAAACAGAAAACGGATATTTTATAGCATCAGGTTTTTATAACTTCATTTCAAGCCATATTTCATTCTGACACCTGCCTGAATATTTCAATTCAATAACTGTAACTCCTTGAACGTCAGTGAGTTCTTTGTAACGTCCCAGTCTGAATGCAATCCACTTTTTCTACGTGCAGTGTACCCTCAGTACTTCCTATTCTTTCTAACAATAAAAAGAATGTTTGTCTCTTTACAGTCCCTACCAGCGTGTGTTCTGCTATCCATTGTGAATGTCAGATTCTCCAAGTCCTCTTTCCTCATTACGCGTCCCAGAAATGTTAACCATTTCTCTTATACTAATCACAAGTGTCTTATTCGTTAGCGTTTTTGTTGAAGCATACCTATCTATGATAATGGGTATGTCCCCATTCATATAAATACAGTAGTAAATACTGTATGTTGGCCTGCAGTCGGAGATTCGTCTCCAGCTGTACTGGTTAAACTCTCTGCCTCCGAGCAGAGTGAATCTCCAGACAAGGCTATGTCGAAGAGCAGCGTCTCGTCTCGGGTAACAGCTACCCTACCCCATTTTATACGGTGTCTTCACGGATTTTTTGGCCGAGCCTATGGGCTCGGATACTCCACATTCAAACGGCCTTGTGCCACATCTGATCGCATGGGGCGGTTGGTAGATATTCTGCAACTGAAGATTAGTCTCCATATTTGCTGGTCAAACTCTCTGCCTCCGAGCAGAGCGGATACCCCGACGAGGCTATATTGAAGGGCAGAGTCTCGTCTCGGGAAACAGCTACCCGACCTTGTACCACATCTGACCATGTAAGGCGGTTGGTAAATATCCTGCAGTTGGAGGTTAGTCTCTAGCTGTGCTGGTCAAACTCTCTGCCTGCGAGCAGAGAGGATCTCCGGACGAGGCTATGTTGAATGGCAGAGTCTCGTCTCGGAAAACAGCTACCCGACCTTGTGCCACATCTCTCCGCGTTAGTTCATTGTGGAATTCACTTGAATGACTTCTAGCAATTGACTTCTTCTACGCGCCAATGGCGAATCTTATATGTGTTGTTCTTGTCCTAAATATTATCGTTCATTACCAACCTTCGTGTGATTAGTCTATTCAGTTACCTTCCCTAGGTTACATTTTGGCGATGCGGATTAGCCAAAATTACAACAGGTTTCTTTAAATCTTTCTCGTTGATCACCTCTTCTGTCCATAGTTTTCTCAGAATCTTCGGGCAAAACCATATTACTGATGCTCTACTTCAGCTCTTCATCTCTTCCATCATTAACTGTAATATAGGAGGATTGATATAACACAGCAGCTCAGCACAATTTTCTTTGCTTCTAATTGAATTTTCCTTATTCGTTTAGTTTCCGGGAGGCATCATTGGCTATTCAAATACGCCTTCGGATTTTTGAGTCACATTTCCGTCGTCCATTGTAGCAGCTCGTAGACTGTTAAATTTCAGTACTTTTGACATCTTCAATTTGTGGATACTTTGGGGGCCTCGTCTTCGGCGGGAAAGATCAAAAATGGTTGCTCGTTAATTTAGTAGTGTAGAACTTACTGTCTGGATTGGTTTAATTGGCTTTGGGCTACGCTGTGCTTGTTAATGTAATTTTGAGAGGACTCAACTAAGTAATGTAGCTTCGCACGTGCCTATCCCATAAATATGTTTTATGGTAATTGTCCTGATGATCTTTCCTCTTTGATATCTCGACTTCATGAATTTAAACGAAGTACGAGATTGGCAACATGATCTCATGAGTTTACAGTTGAAATGGTTAGATGTAAACGTAAGTTCTACGCCCACAGTTTCATCTGTCGCACTTCTCGATGGTGGAATTCTCTTCTGGCTATTTGCTTTACAGTCAACTTTGACTGGAAAAAATGTAAATGCATTGTGAATTGTTATTTGTATCTTCTTGATTCTTATTCTTTTATTGTTCTCTCTCCTTAATAATGTTTTCTTTTTCTCGTATTCTCTCGCACTAAGTAACCCACTTGCATCATAGTGGCTTTACTGCCATGCCTGTGGTAGAAGGATTAAAGGAACCCAAAGCTATTTTTAATATAATTTTTATCAAGGCAATGTGTATAGTCACTCTAATTAATTACATTGTAGGAGAATATATATATATATATATATATATATATATATATAAGACAGGATGTGTGTATGTGTGTGTGTGTGTGTGTGTGTGTGTGTGTGTGTGTGTGTGTGTGTTTAACAAATGCACGGCCGCAATTTTCGACGGATTGCACCAAAATTTACATGCATATGCTCCAAGTTAGCGGGAAAGCCAAGACCGACATTGCATTTCCCAACTCCCATCGATAGTGGAAATAATCGATTTTTTCAGGCTTCTACGGTAGTTTTCATGTAGTTTGCGGCCATTTTCTACTGGCCAGAGTGAGAGCCTATAGCTGGCTGCCACGAATAGGCAGGAAGATTCTACTGGCCAGCGTGAGAGCCAATATCTGACTGACACGAACTAGCATGCGAGCATGCAAAAAAAATCGATAGCTGCATTCGTCACAAGAGGGAAAAATTAAATCTGCACGGCACTTTACTCCAATTGGCTCATTCGCTTGCTTAAACTCAACGTTGATTCTGATTCCGCAGAACTGGGTTCTGTGAAAAAGTATTTGTTGTTAACATTCTTTTTCATTCGGTTTTTCCAGTTATGAGTCCTTTTTTAAAGCTGATCGTTTTGTGTTCATTTTGTTTAGTTCTTTTTTCGTAACAGATTTAATGTTTAGTATAGAGCTTAGAAAAATTTGCAGTGTGAGATAGGCAAGAAGTAAGGCATGTAGCAACATCAGCACGGCAAAGGGCACTCCTTTAAAGGCAAGGAAGGGCAAAAATATTTTAAGTCAAGTGATAGCGATTGCTGTATGAGTCGTACGATTTTTGAATCAAGCACGGATAACGCCGGGCCTTGCTGCTAGTATATATATATATATATATATATATATATATATATGTGTGTGTGTGTGTGTGTGTGTGTGTGTGTGTGTGTGTGTTTAGACAGCAATCCTTTCTTTCATGTACATTTCATTGAATACGACAGACAAGGTGCTTTTATTTAGTTTTTTATACAATTTCTCTTGCGATCTAGTATCTTTTTTTCTTTTCAGATGATAAATTATATAAAAACTGTCCGAATGTTCTTTTTTTCCGAGCGCTTTCGGCTATACATTTAGCCATTTTCAAGGCATGTAGCAACATCAGCACGGCAAAAGGCATTCCTTTAATAGCAAGGGAGGGCAAAAATATTTTAAGTCAAGTGATAGCGATTGCTGTATGAGTCGTACGATTTTTTTAATCAAGCCCGGGCAACGCGCTGCTAGTATATATATATATAAATCAAATAAATCAAAAAAATGTTTGAAAGATATCACTTAATTTTTTTTCTAAACGTTCAGCCACTTAACCCCACTACCAAAATAAGATATTGAAATACCGAAAAATAACATCTTTTATGTGTCATGCCTATTCAGCAGATGGACACTCGGGAGTTTCCTTCCTAGCCTTTTATTTAAGGTAATGTAGAAGTCCAACATCTCATGTCAATAGTTTCTCTACTAGCTACTTGTGTTATCTATTTTAGTTTTTACTGCTGCTCGTTATTTGTGATTCTATAGCGTCAGTCTACGGAGTCCGATGAAGGATAACCTTCCGTAACAGCTACAGGCTTCATTTTTAAATATACTAGACTCGAACAGTGTTAAGATTGTAGTGATCTGAGAAGTAGCCTCTTTGGAGTTCTCTCTTCTTCTCTTGTTCTTGTAACGGCATTCACCCGGGGTGGGTTGAGCCGGCTCTAATATCGGAGTTTCATGGGAATTTGGAATTCACAAGCAGCCCCCAACCCGCATGTATATCACATGAAATTTGATTATAGTGGTGAAGGTTTTGTGCAAGACCATCCACACTTTTGAAGGGACGAATACAGAGACACAAGGTCCCCGAACGACCCTCCGCAGGTTTTGAATTCAGAGTTTTCCTTCTCCTAGACCAGTTGCCATCCAAGTGTGTCCTGCTATTTAACCATAGATGGAGGGAGAAGAAGAGGATTCACACCTTTCCCAAGGGAAGTAAGTGAATGTAATGGATTCGAACTCGGCTCTCCGATTCCTCAATCCAAGCCGCTATCCATTACTCCACCGTGCCTCCTCTTTGGAGTTGGTTCTACAAAGAAGAGGTTCGCTGGAAGAAGCTGTTCGAGTGGAACTTACGTTTCACCATTGGAATATGAGGGTGCTTCGCTACAATTTGCGTGGGGTATCTCAGCCGTGAAGGTTAAAACTGGTGAAACAAAGCAATATAGTTTTGAACCTTTTTCCATGAGATTAGCGATAGAACAGCGAGAGGCTTGCGTGATATCGTCTATGAGAAAGTAGGCTAGAAAATAATTCGTCACCCACAAGGACTCGGAGAGGCGTTTGGGCTCTATCGAGACTAGAAAGTGAAGACTGGACAGCTCCAGCCCATGTATGGCAGCAGGGAAAGAGACGGTTACACAAAGCAGCGGTTTATGGGAAGAAATTACTCGATAGGAACTTACATCTCACCAATGGAAATTCTTTTGTTTCACAATGATATTCAACCTGTACAAAGCCCAAGAGTCACTCAAGGTAGAGGGTTATTGAATAAGATAACATTAGGCGTAGACTTGAACAGGTTAAGAGTGGAATGAGTTGGGAAGCATGCTCAAAGCAGGAATAATATAAAGGGAATGAAGGTGGTTCGCTAAATTTGAGAGGCTTGGCGGCTCTTATCCTTGAAGTTTCGAACTGGTAGAACTAAGGAATGTAATTCTTCTGAACACTTCCATCGAAACTGCGATAAAGCAACGACAGGCTTGTGACGTTTTCGTCTAAGCGGAAAAGGGTTGTAGGGTGGAAAATAATTCGTCACCTACAAGGACTCTGGGACGCTTTGGGACTCTATCAAGACTGCAAAATGAGGACCGGGCAAGATCCCGCCCAAATATGGCAACAGTACTCCATTTTAGGTCTTAACTGGCTCAGTAACAATGAAAAGAAAACTGAACTGCCATGTAACAAGACTTCCTATATGTCAGTGAATGCTGAACGATTTCATCAAAGATGAAGAGGAGACTGGCACTACGCAGATATGATTCTACAGAAGGATAATGAGAATTTTATGGATA